CACTGACTTTCTCTGAAGAAAATTCCACTGAAGATTATCAATGTACTTCAAGATCCACCAATAACTGCCTCTAAGCTTAAAACCAGACTCAAGCAAAGCAGGTTCCTAGAAGGGAAATAGGAAGTATAGTCCATGAAGAGCTGTGCTACACTTCAAAAGAAATTAATGATTTTGCTAATTCATTCAAGCAGAAGTCTGGTGAATATATGTTGTAATGAATTTTAATTGTGTGGGATAATGGTATAAGGAACATATAGCTAGATCAGGCTGAATATTTTGATATGGACCCCCTGAATGTGAATTCTGAATTTAATATGGATGCTTGCAGGGTTTAAAAAAATATCAATGCTTTCTTTGAATGATTGGCTGAAACATTTGTTAAAAGATATCCTACTGGAAAAGAGTTTGAGATGTCTGATATCCCTTGGATTAGTGTTGAGGAAGGTCTTTTAGTGCTCAGGGAAATTGTAGTAGTAGAGTGGCTGTCTTAGGATTTCTGTTGCTGTGGAGAGATACTATGACCATGGCAACTCTTCTAAAAGAAATATTTGAGGTGTCAGCTTACAGTTTCAGAGTTTCACTTCATTATCATCATGATGGGACCTTGATGTGCAGGAAAATATGTTGCTGGAGAAAGAGCTGTTACATGCAGGCAACAGGAAGTAGACTTTCTCACTGAATGTGGCTTGAGCATATATGAACTCTCCAAGCCCATCTCCACATTGAAGCACTACCTCCTACAAGACCACACCTATGGTCTCAGAGTAATGCCACTCCCCTTGGGGGCCATTTTCTTTTAAACCACCACAGTGGGTATGCTGTTGAAACCAAATCCCACACAAGGGGAATGCCCAGAAGGCATGCTCTTCACAACTTATAAAATGCAAACTGATGAGAGGGGCAGCAGCACATTTTAAAAGCTTTGTTGTCCCCCCCACACACACTTTTTTTTTTTATTGTGCCAGACCTTAGGGTTGGAGGTGTTGCTGCTCAATTGGATGAATTAAATACAATAGGTTTGCTATTAAAAATAGGGCCCCTGAGATAGAAGGGACCAGGTGGCAACACTAAATCACCAAAGGCATGGTAGTTGTAGTTATTATAATAGGCAACACAGATAAAGCTTAGACAATTATGAACATTTCAATAATTGTCTAGCTAGTAATGGTTAGCACAGGCAAAGTGAATTTTTTCTCTCTCTCTTTTTTTTTAAATTTATTTGAACTTTATTTTATGTGCATTGGTGTAAAGGTGTCAGCTTCCAGGGAACTGAAGCTACAGGCAGTTGTGAGCTGCCATGTGGGTGCTAGGAATTGAACCCGGGTCCTCTGGAAGAGCATTCAGTGCTCTTAACCGTTGAACCCTCTCTCCAGCCCCCGGCAAAGTGAATTTTATGGTGGCATGACTCATGGACTTTTTGGTACTGGCTAATAAGTCATGGTCTTTCAACATCCTTTGCCATCAGGAAAATGCAAATCAAAAGGACTCTGAGATACCATCTTACTACACCTGTCAAAATGACTAAGATCAAAAATAACGATGATTGCTTATGCTGGAGAGAATATGGAGTAACGGGAATACTCATCCATTGTTGGTGGGAATGCAAACTTGTACAACCACTCTGGAAACCAGTATGTTAGTTTCTTAGAAAATTGGGAATCAACCTACATCAGGATCCAGCAATACCACTCTTGGGCATATACCCAAAGATGCTTAATTATACTACAAAGGTATTTGTTCAACTATGTTCATAGCAGCATTATTTATAATGCTGAAAACAACCTAGATGCCCCTCAACTGAAGAAGGGATAAAGAAAATGTGGCACATTTACACATTAGTGTACTACTCGGCAGTAAAAAAACAATGACATCTTGAATTTTGCATGCAATAAATGGAATTCGAAACCATTATCCTGTCTGAGGTAACCAAGACCCAAAAAATATTAATATGGTATGTACTCATAAGGAGATACTAACTATAAATAAAGGTTATTGAGCTCATGATCCCAGCGAAGCTAAGCAATAAAGTGAACACTAGGGAAAACATATATAGATCCACCTGGAAAGTTGAAATTGATAAGATAATGTGACAAAATTGAGAGCATGGGGTTGGGGGGAGTAGGGAGGGTGAAAGGGAAAGATCGGGCGAGATGGGGAGGGGTGAGGAGAACTTGACGGAATGGAATAGTCAAGATGGAGGAAGGAAAGAGATGAGAGCAAGGAAAGAGATACCATGATTGAGGGAGCCATTATAGGGTTAGCTAAAATCTGGATCTAGGGCTGGAGAGATGGCTCAGTGGTTAAGAGGACTGGCTGCTCTTCCACAGGTCGTTAGTTCAATTCCCAGCAACCACATGGTGGCTCACAACCATCTGTAATGAGATCTGGCACCTTCTTCTGGTGTGTCAGCATACATGGAGGCAGAATGCTGTATACATAATAAATATTTTTAAAAAAATGGATCTAGAAAAATTTCCAGACATCCACGAGGAAGGTCCCAGATCAGACCCTAAGCAACAGAGGAATTGGGGCCCAAACTGACTTGCTCTGTAGTCAGACTGATGAATATTTTAAATACCACCATGGAACCTTCATCCAGCAACTGATAAAAACAGGCAGAGACCCACATCAGAGTACTGCAATGAGCTCTCAAAGTCCGTTTGAACAGTGGGAGGAATGTGAATATGAGCACCCACTGAAGCAGTCTACCTGAGCTAATGGTGCTCACCAACTCCAGCCAGACAGGGAAGGAACAGCATAGGACCAAACTATTCCCTCTGAATGTGGTTGACAGTTGTATGGCTGGGGCAAACTGAGAGGCCGCTGGCAGTGGCACCAGGATTCATCCCTGTTGCTTATATTGGCTTTTTGGGAACCTTTTCTTTTTGGATGGATACCTTGCTCATCCTAGATATAGTTGGGAGGGCCATGGACCTACCCCAAAGTAAAGTGCTTTACACTCTCTGAGGATTGGATGGGGTGGGGTGAGATAGTATTTGGAGGGACAGGGAGTAGGGAGGTGTGGGAACTTCAATTGGTATGTACAATGAAAAACAAAATATTGTTTTTCTTTCAATAAATGAATAAATAAAAGATAAAATAAAGGGCCAGGGATCCAACTGAATCATAGGGTGTGCACCTGGTATGTGGAGACCTGGAAAATAAAAAAGAAAGAAGAAAAATTTAAACTGGCTTTGTAGCTGAACACTGCTAGCTATCCTCTAAGTCCAAGCATATTGTTTAAAGAAAAATTCAGAGTCATCTGGAAGGGGACAGAAAGAAGAAAGAGTTTAGGAATGATTTTACTTTTTCCCATAATTTTTTTATTTCTATCATAGCTTTTGCTGAATATATGTCTATATTAATAAAGTTTAAATTTTCCACAATAATGAATTTTCCTACAATAATCTTTGGAGTTTTCAGGAAGAAGATGGAACTCCACAACAATTCCACCTAGTTGATATGACATCATGATGCTGATAAGGCTACATTGAGGTTGGTTAGCTGAAATGGTACACCTTCTTACGTTTTGGCCAGAAGTCCAAATAAGAATCTTAGAAATACCCTACTGACTACACAGACACTATTTGCAATCATAACAGATAGTAATCTTGAATCTTACCACTATTTTAGTTGTATAAAATATCTTGGAAAGAACATCACCACCACAACATCCCCTCTCACAACAATGTCCTCAGGGTTAGGGACATCAATTAGAGGTTGATTATAACTAGTATAGGGTTGGGGTAGGGTGGAATGAGATGCTGTGGATTCATTCTGAGTTATGAAATTTCAAGCAAGACCACCTGAGAAATCTCCAATAGGAACAGATGGCCCAGATCTGAGTTCTACATCCAGAACAGATTCAAGACTACTGCCTGAGATGATCAAGACTCGTAGGATACTCCAGTCAGGACTTGATCATAATTCTGAATTTTCTTGAGGTCCCCATAAGATTATCAGCACCCCCAACCAGCAGGAAGTAGCCTGGAAAACTATGTCCAAATTCCCCCAAAATGGACTATGAATATTTTCCTTTGTTTAAAAAAAGGGGGGGGGGAGTAGTGTGGGAGAATGGTCGGTATTCTGTCAATTATGTTTTAAATAAATGCTGATTGACCAGTAGCCAGGCAGGAAGTATAGGTGAGACAACCAGACAGGAAGTAGAGGCAGGTCAATGAGTACAGGAGAATTACGGGAAGGAGGAAGCCCATTTCTATGCAATCATGTCCAGACACTGATGAAGTAGGATGTGACCTGCTCCGCTGAAAAAGGTACTGAGCCGTGTGGCTAACACAGATATGAATAATGGGTTAATATAAGTTATAAGAGTTAATAAGAAGCCTGAGCTAATGGGCCAATCAGTTTATAATTTATGTAGACCTCTGTGTGATTTTCTTTGGGGCTAAACAGCTGCGGGAAACAGACAGGACAGAAACCCAGCAGGACAGAAACCCAGATGACAACAAAAACCTATACCTATAACTATCTGTCTATCTATCTATAACTATCCATCAACAACTTCATTATATATATATGTTATATTATAGTATAATATTAAACAGGAAGTGCAGCATAAAGCAACTTCCAAACCTCTAGAATTGACAGAGACATCTCACTGCTTGGACCCAAAGTTGTTCTTTAACATTGGGGTCTCCATCTTCTGCCAGGACCTTTATTGGCTTTATATCCATTTTTTAAGTATTCAATTACTCCCATAACAGCCATGTGACTATTGCATCAGTCATCAGTACTTGCTTGGAAGTTCATCACTGTACCATGCAGGGCACAGTGCTAGGTTAGACTATTATTGTAATTTCTTCAATATGAGTGCTTCATGGACAGGTTATGCTAATTTTTTATGTACTATATCATTAGTACATGTGGTGATATTTTGTTTGTGCTTTAACAGATAAAGTTTGGCTGAATATCAGAGTGCAGAGCAAACCACACTAGAGGTCAGACAGTGGTGGCAGACACTTTTATTTTTTATTTTCTTATTTTTTTGAAAGTGTTAGCATTTAATTGGCCTCCCTGAGTGGCTTCAAGCCACCAGAACACAGGCACCTCCAACACCCTTTATCTTCTCTTCAGCTCTTCTGCTGAAAAATTTGGCTTTCACGATGACAGGCTGCTTAGGGAGATTTCCCTTCCCCAGAACTTTGTAGTAGCCCGATCGCACGACATCAATGATGAAAGCAACTCCAGTCTTGTTCTTGGCAGCGTTGACCCGGGTCTGCTCACTGACCAGCGTCCACAGTTTATCCAGGTTGACAATCGGGCCGAAGCTCTGGTTCCTCTTTAAGTGGTAATGCCTCATCCCAATTTCTGCCATTGCCATGCCATCCAGACTGAGGAAGACCCGGAAACTCCAGGGCCACGTGAGCCACGGCCATGGCCGCATCGGTAAACACCGCAAGCATCCGGGAGGACGCGGGAACGCTGGAGGCATGCATCATCACAGGATCAACTTCAACAAATATCATCCAGGTTACTTTGGCACACACTTTTAATCCCAGCACTTGGGAGACGAAGCAGACAGATCTCCCTGAGTTCAAGGCCACCCTGGGCTACTTGATTGAATTAGACCAAAAGAGAAACAAAGCCAATCAGTAGTGGCTCACACCTTTAATCCCAGCACTAGAGAGGTGGAGATGAGAAACTGTAGGGCTGAGCAGAGAGAATACTATAAGGTAGAAGAAGACAGGAATTCAAGATTCAGTCTGAGGCTCTGTAGAGATGGCATTCTGTCTAATGATTTGTAGGGACAGGATCACCCCTTAGGTCTGAGCATTCAGTAGAGGTAAGAACTAGTGGTTCACTGTACTGCTTCTCTGATATTTTAGTATTTACCCCTATATTCCACTCAGGGTTCTTATTATTAAGGCCAATTAGAAACTGCACTACAAGTACTTGGTATAATCAGTAATATGCTCTTACAACTGGTTTTGATGAGCAAGTAAGAGCAATCACAAGAGCCTGTGCCGTTTGTTTACCTCACAATCCTCTCATGACAATACTCACACTGAAAAAAAGCAATGCCTGGAATGAGATTTCATTCAATAAGTTACATTATTAAATTTTATTAAATAACTCATATCTGATGGTAGAATTGTTTACCCATACTTGGTACCTCTTCTCAAAATCTTATTTGTTTCTCTTCAGTAAGTAATGCCAAATAATATTGACATGTGATATTTCCTTGTAAAATATCAATTTTTGCAAGTTGTCTCAATCTTTAAAAGCAAACAGAAACAAATTACATTGAACAACTTACATTTCACAAAAAACTACTGTGAATTTGTAGCATCCAATTCATTTTATGGTGTTCTTTGACAATATCAAAAATCTTTGTCATTAAATTTCCTTTCTATATAAAGTGATGACACCAGCAGAGATGAAGAAAAATGAGATTGTGTACCATGCACCTCAGACAATCAAGGAACAGAATACACAATTATAGCTGTCAGATCTACCACATAATCTTCTCATTTATGAAGCTGAGATCCCATGACCTCTAGGAAACAGAGCAGATAACAATTTCTCTAAAAAATACAAAGTTTAACACAGCTTCTTGCTGTTTCCTGGCAGCATGCCACATCTCCTTTAAGAGAGGTCTTATGGATTCGCAGGGAGCACCTGTGTGGTTTCAAAATGGCAGCTTCCTGTCCTTGGGCCATGCTGTTAGCATAAACTCTGGCTCTCTTGGGAAACCGAGCATTTGGATGGGTTTTCTGAGCAGCTTGCTTGATGGCAATGTTGACTGGCTGTGCACCTGAGAATGAGGTGGTGTGCACGGCTCTCAGAGGTGCAAGTGACCTCCTCCAGAACTCTCTGAAGCCTCAATGTTCCCTTAAGAGCTAACAACAGGAACTTGCAATTCTTCCTTGCTAATGGTCACCAGGGGAGAAAAGTTCACATCAAAGTTCTTGTCTATAATGTCCACTGCTACAGCAAGTGAAATAATAATTGCAGGTCTGAGGGGAGGTGAGGTCATAGAATCACAGATCATATCTTAGGCACTGGGTGTATCCCTCCAGCTAACCTCCTCCTGATCTCTGTGGGTATGGAGCTGAGATCATCATATCAGAGAGAGAGAGAGAGAGAGAGAGAGAGAGAGAGAGAGAGAGAGTGCCGAGAGTGTGATAGACTGCAGAAAAGAGAAGAAAATGTGAGTCTTGGTAAGTGATCGTTGGAGATATTAGGACATGAGACTAAACTGGAGGAGGGACAAAGCCACAGAGGACACAGAAAATCTTCTGAAATAGATCAGGTAGAAATGAATTCAGGGGTCCTAGAAGCACTGCGTTTTAATTCTGACTTAGCCCATTCCTCACTGACAGTACCTGCTGTGCTCTCTGTCTTACTGAAAAATAAGTCTGGTGTTTATGGAGTTTCAAAACGTCTGTAAAGAAGCAGAGTTTCTTTAAACCCCTTTATGAGGAGATTTTAGTAAGTCACCTGATAAGGGAGTGCCACCTAATCATTGATACTGCTTAGCTTTTGGGAGATTTTTATCTATAAATATTAGTCTCATGGAAGCTTTTATGCACAGTCAGATGTTTGGACAGTGATGGACTTGGTCTTGAGGTTTGCAGGTGATTCATTCACATGGTACTAGTGTCATAGATACTAACATTGGTTTGAATGGATTTTGCTATGAAATATTTGCAAAGAACTTTCATAAATGAAAATAGATTAAAAAGTAAGTTCTCATAATAATAAATTAATAGTAATAATAACTTGTAGCTTCATCAAATAAGTATAATACATTTTCAGCACTTCTAGGAGTACAACTATAGTAACTGCATGATTGTAATAACAAGTGGAACATGTTTCATAAAACAATGCAATCCTACCTGTAATTGCATGTAAATGTAGGCCTGATTTGCATAAAACATTTTCCTCTGACTCTGAGTGAGGGTGCAATGAATAGAAACAGTATTCTAATTGGTTTGAAAATGGCTAAAACTCTATAAATGTCAGTAATTTTTCCTGTGGATGTAGGAAGAGTCATTTAAATGCAGCTATAAATATTATTTCTGTCTGCCCTCAACTACTTGGGTTAATTTTTTTTCATGTTTAACAACATTCTCATCAAATATGGGATTAATTATACTTGCATAAGACATTGAAAATGGGGAGATTGATCACATAGACAAATTCTATGGAATGCCCTATACTCACTTCCAAATTTTTCTTTGAACCTAAAATATTCTAAACATTAATGCTTATTAGCATAGCAATTATACTTTACCTGTGTCAAAGTTCGAAGTTTTTGCTTATCCCATTCCCTTTACAGTTATATCCTTAATTTATAAAACTTAACTCATTTATCATTAACCCCCAAATCCCTTCATTTATATGTCAATAATGAAATTATTTGTGATCTTAAATTAATAATTTTGTTTTCTATATTACCATATTTTCCATGAATTCACGTTTATCTTCCAAAATTAAAGTAAGCCATTTGATTATCGGCCAACTGTTTTGCTGGGTCATGACTGTGTTTCAGATATGAACCAGGCTATGGAGATATTCTGTGCTTTCCTGCTAAGGAGCTAGTGTTACCTCGCTGCACATTCTACACAGTATAAACGTACAAATATTGGAGCATTTTGTGCCTCATTCAACTGCCTTTACATGTTCAATTAATGTCAAAGAGGCACATGCCCTACAGACTGAATTATCTTGTGGACTCATTGAGGATAGAGAATGTTGTTTGTCCAATGATACAGTATAAGTGGCCCAAGCCTCATCTTTCCACATGATTTCCTTAGTCTGGGAGCAGTAACTTACAGCATGGAAACCAGCGAGCTGTCTATAGCAATGATCTTCTTGTCTTTGACTATGATTGGATTTCTGGGGAATTTCTCTCTTCTTCACCACTACATATTTGTTTCCCTAATGAGGTACAGATTAAAGTTTACAGACTGGGTTCTGATGCACTTGATTGTAGCCAACATCTTAACTGTACTGACTAAAGGAGTACCTCAGACATTAGTAGCTTTTGGGTTGAACAACTTCTTCAATGATGTTGGATGCAAATTGACTTTCTCTCTTCACAGAGTAAGTAGGGGTGTGGGGATTGGCAGCACCTCCTTCCTCAGTGCCTTCCAAGCCATCATCATCAGCCCCACGAACTCCAGGTATTCGGAGCTTAAAATAAATTTACACAAGTACATCTGTTACTCTGTGTACCTGAACTGGGTAATTCATTTCCTTATTAGCAGTATTAATCTTGTGCACACGAGGGCAAAATATGGAAATGAAAGCACAGAAAACTTGAAATCTTTTTTATACTGCTATTCTGTCCGTCATGACCCAACCAGTGACATCTTGTATGCAACATTGCTGTCAGCTCCTGACATTCTTTTTCTGGTACTCATGTTATGGTCCAGTGGCTCCATGGTTGTCACCCTGTACAGGCACAAGAAAAGAATGCAACACATGCCCAGGACCAATGCTTCTTCCAGATCCTCCCCTGAGACAAGAGCCACTAAAACCATTCTTCTCCTGGTCAGTACGTTTTTCTCCTTTTACACAATCTCTTCACTCTGTCAACTCCTTGGGGCTGTTCTATATGATCCAGGCTGGTCTCTGGTGCATGTGACGGCAATGGCCTCTCTGCTTTTCCCCGCTGTTTTTCCTTTTCTCCTCATGAATCATGATTCTCGGGTATCCAGCTATTGCCTGCCCTGGAAAATTAGTAGACATTTTTCTAAGACCTCTGATCAAGAGCTGAAGTGAAAGCTGCTGCCCAGTCCTCACTTGGTTATTGAGTCATTTTGAGAGAATAGTGAGCATAATAACATTCATATCACATGACTTTTGAGGTGATTGAAGTTGAACCTTCTCACTGCTGTGAACGGAAGTGAATGTGTTTAGCTACGTAGGCATACATAACTGTGTGTGTCCTTTTGTGCACAAGTATGAGAATGGATTTATTTAAAATATATTTACTTTACACATCAAGATATATATTTAGTTCATGGTGTAACAAAAGTAGATTACAAATTATACTGTAAATTAGCTAGACTTTAAGTTTCAGATTAAGATAGTTGTTGAAAACAATAATTGCTTTGTGTTGTGATTCCTGGATTTTTGGGAATTGAACCTGAAATAAACAAAATAAAAGTTTAATTGAGCTCTATGGTAATATCTAATGTGTTTCCCTGCTCTGGTGCAGTCTATGTTACACTCCATTGTTTTTATATGGAAGGTAAAATTTCCCCTGCATTTACATTTCCCCTTGTACGTGACACTGTACCTTGCTTCCCTTGTCACATCCCTTGTATCTTACTTCGCTTGTCACATCCGCAGCAGACATGTACCTTCAATGTACAAGGGGCACAATCAGAGTTCAAAGACATTTTCCACTTTGGATACAGCTCTGCTTTCATT